GGCAGGAGGAGGAGCCAAGGGGGCGTGGCCAGAGGATAAGTCAAGGGGGGGTGCCTTTTTTATGTTTGCCCCCACTCCTCTTAGAAGCTGGCTACACCACTAAGAGACCCCCGAGGGTTTGGCTGGGTGTGGGGCTGGGAGCCGGGACACTGAGCCAGGCCCCTCACCTACTACAATGATCTTGATGGGGTCACTGGGATGTGACCAGCGACTCTGATCCGTTATGGAGTGATATTCGCAGGTGTAGCTCCCTCCATCTTCCCAGCCGACACTGGGGATGGGAAATTCAGCCACGGTCCCATCAGGCACCGTCCGCACCTGCCGGTTCGGGTGTTCAGCTTTACGCAGAAAGAACTTCATGCCCGGGTACCAACTCTCACAGCAGATGGTGACGCTTCCCCCGAGCGCCACCACCCTGCTGGGGCTCACCCAGATGGGGGGTTTGGGGTAATCTCGCCCTGCTTTCAACGAGAGACAGGAGTTAAACAGGGGAGACACAGCCCCGTCCCTCACCCCAGGCCCCAATTCAGTCCATCCATCGTTCGGCCTCTCTAGGAGTCCGTCCCCTACCAGGGTTGGCACTGCGGCCCATGGGGTTTGGGGGCAGGGGGATCACCCAGACGTAGCTCACGACCTGGCTGCATGAGAGATCACCTGTCCCCCTACCCGGCCCCACCACAGGGCAGCCAGGGAGCCTGACCAGTGGGCCCCTGCAGCTCTGCCCCCCACCCCGGGGTTGGAAATAGAGTCTGTGACCGGCAGGAGTCGCACAAGACCCACCTTTCCCCAGGCCTTGGGAACAGGGGGCTGAGAGTGCAGGGGAGGGAGCTGTTGGGGTGGATCTGGGGGTTGCACGGCTGCACTGACCATCACTGTTTTAGTTATCCCAAGGGGATCCAGAGCCCACAGACAGGTCCTTTTAACCTTCTTATATGAGCTGAAAGAAATCCACATGCCGCCGCCCCCCATACCTGATCCTCGCAGCCTGTGGGGGGCAGGACATTGAACCAGGGACGGTTCCCCTCTGCTTCGTCACACCCCAGGAGCCAGATTCGACTCCTAGTTACTCCATGGTGGGGCGGGGCACAGAAGAACGGGGCCGGGTCTGAGCTGACAGGGGGAGTTTTGGTTGAGTTTTGGGGAAGGTTCAGGGCTCAGTTCCTCTTTTCCCCACCCCTTGCAGCCTCTCCCCCGTCCTTGATGTTACCGTCCTCCCCACAGACTGATACTCACCTCCTGACACCCTGCTCTGCCCAGCCAGCCAGCAGCCTGGAGAGGAGACGGCTCGTTAGTGACCAGATCCCAGAACATCTGGATCCTACACCCTGGTCTCACATCTCCTTCCCCCGGCCATGGACACACGTCCTGATCTCAGATCCCACCCCCCATGGGCACGAGCCCTGGCTGTCTCTGATACTCACCGAGGAGGAGGGCGGTGAGAGCAGACGCCATGACGGGGCAGTGGGGGCCCCTCAATGCTGCCATCAACACCCCAATGCCCAGCTCCACCCAGCCTGAGGCCCGAGTGTGAGCGGAATGAGGAACTGTGCCGGGGGCTGCAGCCCCAGGAAGCCCGTGATGCGCTCGGCCCCTTTCCGCCCCATCAGATGGTTTCTCTGCAATCTCCAGGCCAAATCTAATGTGGTCAGGGCAAAGCCAGCTCCCTGCAACACCCAGCAAACCACATCCCCTCCTGCAGCTCCCTAGTCCCCCACCCATCACCTCCCAGGCCCCCATGGGAGCTGCCCAGTGTGGGGAACACCTGGAAAAGGGAGAATCTCAGGAGTCATCAAGAGGTGCCCAGGCTGCCCTGACATTTTCCAGCAGGCCCGTCTAGCCTCCCTGGAGCAGCAGCTCAGAGCAGAGGAGGGATCCCCCCACAAACACAGTGCCCCACACGGAGTGACCCTCTCCCCTGGAGTGGGGGAAAGATTCCTTCTTCACCCAGCTGGGCCCAGCGGCCACCCTGGAGCATGGGGGTGGAGGGACCTGGCCAACCTCCTTCTCAGGTAGTGTCACTGCATCACCGTTCTTAGGTCAGTGATGTGGCACAGAGACAGGACAGGGGCGTGGGGGTTGTGGTTTCTGGTCCCCATGAGTGGGGGAGGGAGGGATAACTGTAGATCCTGAGTTGTTAAAGGAGCAGCCGATAAAACCGTGAAAGGAGAAGTCTGCCCAGAGCCGGCGCTCGCTTCCTGTTTCTGCTACTGCCAGTGAAACTCTGTGTAAACCTGATGCCCAGCACCTATCCTGTTATGTACCCTAGCTCTGGGAGGGGGAAGGGGGTGGCTGGGAGCCAGGACTCCTGGGTTCTCTCCCTGGCTCTGGTTGGGGGGTGGGGTCTGGTGCTTAGAGAAAAGGACACAGATTAGCACCAGCCCCCTAGTGATGAAAGCCCCGTGTCCCTTCCCCAGCCCATCCCCGGGGCCGTGGGTCTGCGCAGCTCAGGGCCCGGGGCAGAGATCAGAGGAGTCGATGGCTAAGCTGAGTTTCCCTCGCCGACCTCAGGATGGTGCAAAAGGGACATGGGGGGTCAGCCGACCAGCCCCCCAGAAAGGGGAGGGGAGAAGATCACAGGGACAGAGCTCAAGAGAAACTGGCCCCCCCGGCAGACGCCCCAGCTCTGGCTCCCCAGCCCATTTGCCCTTCACTCCCCACCCCTGACGTTCATGCATTGGGCCCCTCAGCCCCCTGTCCTGCGTCCCCTCCCCCATTCTCACCCCTCATTCTATAGTTCCCTCATGTCCCCCCATCAGGTCCGCGTCCACCCAATTCTGCCCCCGTCCCATGTCCCTTCACCACCTCTTGTGTCCCCTCATGCCCCCTCCACTCTCCCATTCTGCCCACCCCATCGCCTAGTCCCTCACCCCCCCAATCTTCCTTAGGGAATGTGGGGCAGAGGGGGGTGTGGGGCTGTCACAGAGTGTGGGAGGACACAAGGCCCTGCACCCCCGGCTTTCTGAAATTCACCATCACTCTCAGCCAGCCAGTAAAGCAGGTGGTTTATTTAGACAACAGGGACACAGTCCAAGACAGGTCTTGCAGGCATAGACAATAGGACCTCCCCCCAGTTAGGTCCATCTTGGGATCCCAGGGGCACCACAGCCCCATTGTGGGAGGCAGAGCCCCGTCTGGGCTCCCTCCATTACCAGCCAGTTCATGAAAACTCTCTCCCCACCATTTGTTCAGTCACAGGGGCAAAGGTGTCACCTGGCCTCTAACCCCTTCCTGGGGGTTCTCATGTTACATGCTCAGGTATTCTCCCTCAAGGCCAGTCTCCCATTCACCAAGGCAGACCGTCCTAGCCAAACTCCCCTGCCTTCCCAGCCAACACCCCCCACTCAGCATTCAGAAACCACATTATGAACAGTCCCAGTTCATCACAGGGGCGTTGTGGGGTCAGGAGACTGAGGGGAAAGAAAGTGGGGGACCCAGGACTGAGGGGTCAGGAGTAGGAGAGGGGCAGTGAGAGGGGTGGAAATGGCAGCTCCCTCCTAGAGGGCACCGTCTCCCCCTCCCCCCTCACACTCCCAAACAATCCTGCCCCCCAGCTCTGACCTTTGGGGGAGCCTGTCTGCCCTCAAACTCCTGCCCCCCATCCCTGCACTCTCCCCTCAACCCCCCTCCTCACACCCCCAACCTACTTCCCTCAAATTCCTGGCTCCCCCCATCTGGCTCCCCCGAAACGCCCACCATGGGCCGGCCCAGAAGCGCCAGCGGCTAAATCACTCTGCGCCCTGTTGTGTTCATGGAGATGCAATAAAAGGCCCAAGATGCGAACACGCCCCAGTCCCTGCCCCACACTGAACAGGGTTAAACACAGGCCGGGGCGGGGTCCAGAGCCTGCAGCCTGCTCAGC